AAAAAAAAAAAGCTTGGGCTTAGAACCAACAGACCAGATTCTAACCTTACTTTCACTACTTCTTAGCTGACCTTCCATTCCCTCGCCTGGAAAAAAAAGGAAAAAACCACAACTCACAGGTCTAAAAATATGTGTGGCACATACATCTCTGTTGGAACGGCAGGAGCACAGGCATGGGTTCTGAGAACCACGGACAAGTTATCACACCTCTGTGCCACAGTCTCCTCACGTATAAAACGAAGCTATTGGCATTTCCCTCCTAGGATCATTTTGAGAATTTAAATGTAAAGGGTCCCTTGGCTCGGCGCAGTGGCTCATGCCTGTAATCCCAGCACTTTGGGAGGCTGAGGCGGGCAGATCACTTGAGCCCAGGAGTTTGAGACCACACTGGCCAACAGGGCAAAATACCATCTCTACTAAAAATACAAAAACTACCCAGGTGTGGTGGTGCACACCTGTAGTCCCAGCTATTTGGGAGGCTGAGGCACGAGAATCCTTGAACCCAAGAGGCAGAGATTGCAGTGAGCCAAGATCACGCCACTGCACTCCAGCCTGGACAAGAGAATGAGACTAACTCAAGAAAAAAAAAAAAGAAAAGGGTCCCAAAAAATAAAGTACTTGACACAAACAGTAGGTAATTAATTAATGAGTCCTATCCTAATACAAGTCTGGACTCAGCTCTTGTCTCCCTCATCACAGCAGGACTAGAACATCATGCAGACCAGGAGTCAGCCTTTTAGGAACCAATGTCCAACCTTTAGGCTTCTCCCATCATTTCCAGGGATGACAAAAACATCTCACAACCACAGGCCGCTCTAATCACAATCAATCTTGTAAACATTTTAATAATACATATTATGGACTGAACACCAGTAAAATTTTTCAAGGAATGTCTGCTTTACGATACTCACAAACCAATGAAGATATAAAAACAGACACCATCAATACAGGACTTAAAACATTAATGTGTGCCAAGTGTCTACGGTATGCCACAGAGGAAGAGTAATTCAGCAAAGGGACTAAAGGAATGCCTTGTAGAGGTGGACCTTGAAGAAAGGGGGCAGGTGAGGAAGTGCTACGGCCCTTTTCAGAACAGCTGAGAATACAAATCTAATGCTGAGGGGACTGAATGCCAAGAGATACAACCTAGCTCTTTCAACAGGGGCCACTACACCAAAACCCTAGGAAACTGGGTGGTCACCGATCATTAGTCCTCCAGGCCAGTGGTTCTCAAACAAGTTGGGGGTTGGGGGGAGTCACACTCACCCCCTGCGACATTTGGCAACGTCTGGAGACAGTTTTGATTGTCATGCCTGGGGAGTAGGGGTGCTACTGTCATCTAGCAGGTAGACGCCAAGGATACTGCTATACATCTGCAATGCACAGGGCATGTCCCACAGCAAAGGATTATCTGGCTGGAAATGTCAACAGTGCCACTGTTGAGATATTGAGACGCCAGGGAAGGTACTGAGTACGTGCTACTTCAGCAAGGGCAGCCTCTTAGGCTATGATATCAGCTAGAACATCTCTGGGGTGGAAGACTACAGCAAGATTCCAAATGAACATGTGAGATAAGAGAAATCCATGATGTACCGTTTGGAGATAGGAAGATACAAAATAGAGGCTTTACCTGACCACTTTTTCTAAAGACAACACCCAAGTCACTTTATCACATCCACCTGTCTCATTTCCTGCATCGCACTTACGATAGCCTAAACCATCTTATTTTCTCCTTTATCTTCTTTCCCCTCTGGAATATAAGTTCCCTGTAAGCATGGACTTGGTTTATTCTATTCTCCGCTGTCTCCACAACTTGAAATTGAAAAATTCCTGATAAACAATAAGCATTCAACAAATTTGGTAAAACAATGAGTTTCGGCTTTTGACGGTTTCGGTGGGGCGAGTTCGAGGCAACTACCTTTAATATAGCGGTTGGGGGTGGGGATCGAGACCTCAAGCACTCTATAAAGACTGGAGCGCTGGGTCTGAAATTCAAAAGTGGCGCCTTGGGAGAGCAGTAAAAAGGAAAGAGTTGGAGTACACCAATGCAAGGCAGCAGGGGACGCTGGGCTGAAACAGAAGTGCACCGTTTGGGACCGGAGGCCACAGGAGAACTACGACCTGCACACACACTTTCCGGAGAGGGTCAAATAAGGCTGGGAGGCCGGCTCGGGCCGGTTCAGCGGGGAGCCGCGTGGCGGGGGACTGGCAGCTGGCGGGCAGCTGGCTCCGGACGCGCCTCCTTTGGCGGGAGACGGAAGTGGGCGGGGTAACGGGCAGCTCGGCCAGTACCACTCGGCCAGGGCGGGGGCCGCACAGGAAGCCGCAAGTGACACCTGGAAGGGGTTCGAGTTAGAGCAGCCGCGCGGGGACAGCGGGTTCCAGCAGAACCCCCTGTGGAGGGGCAAGGAACCCGTAAGGGTCCTCGACGTTTCAGGTTACATGGGCCGAGTTACACTACTCCAGCACCGGATAAGGGGTCCAGGCCGGGACGTAAGCAGGGCCGCAGCCAGGTTTATCTCACCAGAGCCATTTGGTCCAATGATGGCGGTGAACCTCTGAAATGGTCCGATAATCTGTCGACCCTTGTACGACTTAAAGTTCTCGATCTCAATCAGTTTCAGGAACCCCATGACGGCCGTTGCGCCGGCGGCAGTACGACAGGCCGCGCCGTACGACCGGGAACTGAGGTAGTCCGCGCGGGAAACGCCGCAGTGCAGGCCGGGCGGCCGGCAAATCTCGCGATATTATGTCCAAGCCTAACGTGATTTTTGGCTTCCGGCAGGAGTGGCACCAGGGGCGGGAGCTACGTTCTGACGCCGAGGTTTTATTGTTGCGTTTCTGAGGCGCGAGCTGACAATGTGTGTGGTGGCCGCGCCCCCTTTCTTGTTGCATGGCAACAACAAACAATTGTACTGCGGAAGGAGTCCCCAAAGGAGTTGGTGCTGGGCGGAGTCAGAGCAGCTCTTGAGGTTCAGGGAGGCGGGGAAGACCTGGTCCCACGCTTGCTGAGACAGAAGTCACAGCAGGATTATGCCCCTCAGGGCAAGAGGAAGGTGGGAGCTCGGCTGTGGCTTTAGCCTGGCCCAGACTTCAAGGCTGGGTCAAGGACAGAGTCGGGAGTTGGAAGGACCCTGGGGGAAAAAGAGGGCTGGACGGGAAGGAGGGGCCAACGGAGGATTCAGTGTTAAATGAGCTCAGGCTTTGCTAATGGTGGGGTGGGATTGGAGGCGGGACGGGATGCGAAGGTGGATGGGGTGTGAATAGGGCTGGGGCTACTCCCAGGCAACAGGGATACAGGATGGGGAAGGCTATGGCCTGAGATACTACCCTTATCCCCTGCCTCCCTGCGGTTCTACCAAGCAGAGTTCAGAAACTGCCGCCGTAACCCAAGAACAAAGTTGCATGCAGAGCCAACCTAGGAGCTTCAAAATCGGGATTCCTTACTGAGAAAGGTATTTTGTGTGAACCCCCAGGAGTCAGGGTCCCTAAGCCAGTGCTCTCGACCTCCATCTACCTCTCCATGCCTCTCCCCCATCCCAGTCCCACAGCTCTATACCACTCTGCTACCTTACCTCTCTTCCATCTCCGCTCTCTATCATTACTAAGGCCAGGGCCTTAGCAATCCAAGAAGCTTAAAATGTCTGCTGAATCTTCCCCTTCAGTGACCTTATACTGTGGTGGCAGGTGGAACCGTTGGTAAGTTGGTGCCATTCTCAGATTTAAACATGGAAAGGATCTGGTGGTTGCCATAATCATTACTGTAACTTTTTTTTTTTTTTTTTTTTGAGACAGTCTCACTCTGTCGCCCAGGCTGAAGTGCAGTGTCACAATCTTGGCTCCGTGCAACCTCCGCCCCCCAAGTTCAAGCAATTCTTTTGCCTCAGCCTCTCAAACAGCTGGGACTACAGGTGCGTGCCACCACGCCCAGCTAATTGTATTTTTAGTAGAGCCAGGGTTTCATTATGTTGGCCAGGCTGGTCTTGAACTCCTGACCTCGTGACCCGCCTGCCTCGGCCTTCCAAAGTGCTGGGATTACAAGTGTGAGCCACTGCACCTGTCCCAACTATTTTTTTATATTATGTCCGAAGGATGGGAAGAGTCCTAAAGACTTAGGACAAGTCCAGGGAAGTGAGAAAATGGCTGGGCATGGTGGCTCACACCTGTAATCCCAGGGTGAGGGAGGCAGGCCAAGGCAGGAGGATCACTTGAGTCCAGCAGTTCAAGGCCAGCATGGGCAACATAGTGAGACCCTATCTCAACTAAAAATTTAAAAATTAGCTGAGTGTAGCAGCTCTCACCTGTGGTCTACCCAGAAGGCGGAAGCAGGAGGATCGCTTGAGCCTGGGAGGTTGAGGCTATAGTGAGCAGTGATCACACCACTGCACTCCCACCTGGTTAACAGAGCAATACCCTGTCTCAAAAATAAATAATTAAAGGGAGGAAGCTTGGTAGATGAAATCTAGTAGGGGAGCCATAAATGAAGTTCAGTTGGGAGAAACAATCAGCCTAAGGGGATAAAGTGGCTAACGGAAAACAATCTCATATAATCCATGGGGATATACTGTTCCCTTTTAAAAGATGAGATAGTGAGCCTGGGTGACATAGCAAAACCCCATCTCTACAAAAAAATTTTAAAAATTAGCCAGGCATGGTGGCACACACCTGTAATCCCAGCTACTCAGGAGGCTGGGGCAGGAAGAGCCTCTGAGTCCACGAGTTCAAGGCTGCAGTGAGCCACGATTACACCTCTGCACTCCAGTCTGGGCAACAGAGAGAGACCCTATCTAAAACAAATTTAAAATAAGTTTTTAAATAAAAAAAAGTTGAGATGGCACTTGGGGGGGAATTAAATTGGATCCTTATGTCACACCATACACAAAATGCAATTCCAAGTAGATTAAAAACCTAAATGAGGCAGTGGCTCCTGCCTGTAATCCCAGCACTTTGGGAGGCCAAGGCAGGTGGATCCCAAGGTCAGGAGTTCAAGACCACCCTGACCAACATGGTGAAACCCCATCTTTACTAAAAATACAAACATTAGCCTGGCATGATGGCGTACGCCTGTAATCCAGCTACTCAGGAGGCTGAGACGGGAGAATCGCTTGAACCGGGAGGTGGAAGTTGCGGTGAGCTGAGATCATGCCACTGCACTCCAGCCTGGGCGACAAATTGAGACTCCATCTTAAAAAAAAAAAAAAATGAGAAAGGCAAAACTTTAGAAATTTTAGAAGAATATATAGGCCAGGCGCGGTGGCTCACGCCTATAATCCCAGCACTTTGGGAGGCCGAGGCGGGTGGATCACGAGGTCAAGAGATCGAGACCATCCTGGTCAACATGGTGAAACCCCGTCTCTACTAAAAATACAAAAAAATTAGCTGGGCATGGTGCCGCGTGCTTGTAATCCCAGCTACTCAGGAGGCTGAGGCAGGAGAATTGCCTGAACCCAGGAGGCGGAGGTTGCGGTGAGCCAAGATTGCGCCATTGCACTCCAGCATGTGTAACAAGAGCGAAACTCCGTCTCAAAAGAAAAAAAAAAAGAATATATAGGAGAATATCTTTATGACCTCAGGATAGGGAGGAATTTCTTGAGTAATAACTACTAAGCTCAAAGGAAGAGAAGAGTAGGTATGACTACATTCAAATTCACCATAAAGAAAGTGGAAAGATAGGTGAGTGCACACAGAAAGCTTCTAAAATATTGATAATGTTCTATTTTCTGAGTTTTGTGTAGAGTTCACAGGTGTTCATTTTGTTAATGTGCTTTATAACCCACACGTGTATCAATCACATTACTTTGTTTTTGTTTTGTTTTGTTTTTTGAGATGGAGTCTAGCTCTGATGCCCAGGCTAGAGTGTAGTGGTGCGATCTTGGCTCACTGCAACCTCTGCCTCCCAGGTTCAAGCGATTCTCCTGTCTCAGCCTCCCGAGTAGCTGGGATTACAGGTGCACGCCGCCATGCCCGGCTAATTTTTTGTATTTTAGTACAGAAGGGGTTTCACCATGTTGCCCAGGCTGGTCTCAAACTCCTGAGCTCAGGCAATCTACCCGCCTCAGCCTCCCATAGTGCTAGGATTACAGGTGTGAGCCACTGTGCCCAGCCAACCACATTCGTTTGTATGTATCAATTGTTACCTTAAAAATCAAGTGATAGCCAGTACGGTGGCTCATAGCTACAATCCCAGCACTTTGGGAGGCTGAGGCAGGCAGATTATTTGAGGTCAGGAGTTCGAGACCAGCCTGACCCACATGGTGAAACTCCATCCTATTAAAAATACAAAAATTGGCCGGGCGCGGTGGCTCAAGCCTGTAATCCCAGCACTTTGGGAGGCCAAGGCGGGCGGATCATGAGGTCAAGAGATCAAGACCATCCTGGTCAACATGGTGAAACCCCGTCTCTACTAAAACTACAAAAAATTAGCTGGGCATGGTGGCGCGTGCCTGTAGTCCCAGCTACTCAGGAGGCTGAGGCAGGAGAATTGCCTGAACCCAGGAGGCGGTTGCGGTGAGCCGAGATCGCGCCATTGCACTCCAGCCTGGGTAACAAGAGCGAAACTCCGTCTCAAA